TGTGGGCTGAAGGTGGGATGGGCAGAGGTCGTAAGGCGAAAGAGTCATTTTTGTTGGTGTGTGTGTGTGTTTGTGGGGCGGAGGGTGGGCTGAGTGGGCATAATCAGGCATCCAATGTTGCTCTAGCAGCAAAATATTAGTAACCCTCATCTTTCACGGTTATTTGTACTATTGTGAAATATTCCTTACCCGTTTCTTGATATCTTTTGTTTTTACCGAAGCGGCCATTGCATTTGGTTTTAAAGAAAGCGGCCACAATCGTTCTTAACAGAATTACACGTTCACATGCTATTTTAACAGAATAGTCCAATTCTCACATGATAATATTTGCATAGTCACCAAACAGATGAGAGATAAAACCACCAGAAAAGCAAACAAATGGCCAGTCACGAAAGGAACGCTTCGCTTTTCCGTATAAAAATTGGCCGGTTCCTAATGTAAGCCAATAAGGTAAATAAAGTACATATGTGAAAATCAGTGTGGGTGACACCTTTGAACGTTGAAAACATATCAAGTAGGAGGAACAGTCTTGGTCTCAGTACGCATTTTTGTCAACAAAATGAACTCATATCGGTTTTAGAAGATGAAACGTAAATCACGTCGCTTGAATGTAGGTAAATCGTAAATGGTGTTACTGGAATAATGCGTCATATTGCAATAGCCGACAATTTCCGATAATCACCCGACTCGGAAACTCGTTACTAGTGCTCCTCGGGCGTACCTCTAGCCGGTAGGATTTAGGCACAACCGTCTTCAGTTGGTATAAAGTGATCAGTGCTCTATCATTGTGCTTTTCCTCGGGAGCTCTTCAACATATGGTCCACACATCAATCACAGCGGCCAAGATAATCTATCTAATATTATTTTTCGAGCTCCAATATTTCGGTCCGGACTTGAGGCACGCTTGAACAAAAACAGCAATACCAATCCGGTCAGTACAAAATGCACATTGCAGACTGCAAACCGGGTAAAAAATGCAGACTGCAGACTGGGTACAAAATGCAGACTGAGAATTTATGTTTTTTTCGTGTGATTCGTGATAACATGTCATCTTACAACTTACCGAGCGTCACGCAATCGCTTTTCCGTGATCATCTTTCACGATTATTTACACTACTGTGGAATATTCCTTGCCCGTTTCTTGAACACAATCGTTCTTAATGTGTGGAAATGAACCCGCTACGGGTCCCCTAGGTATAAGGACTTAACTTAATTAAAGCTTTAAATTAATTAATTAAAGCGGGAATCCCGCGCGGGAAAGTTGGGCGTTTTCGCAAACTCTGGTTGGTTGGCTTTTCTGCGATAGTAAGGGCAGCGTGTCTTTTTATTCTTTTGTAATGGAGTCGTTAGATGGATGCATCAGTAGTAACACTAAAATAGTACCTCCTTGCTCACATTTACGTTTTTTTATTAGGTGAACGAAAACTCTCCCATGACCAGAAAAATGGCCCCGCTGACTCGGAAGAGCTAGAAATAGATGAACTGTACTTTGATACGGACAGACAATCGCAAACGAGAGGGAAAGAAACCAGTAAATTCGCAGAAACCGTTAACAAGGGAGAAGGATCAAATGCAAGAAGGACATAAACAAATGATGGAAATGAACCAGTGCGGGATCCACTGATTTCCAAGCACAGCTGCAAAAGAAAGAATTGGAAGATGTTAACCTGCCGAGGGAAAAAGAAAAACGAGAGGAAAGTTCACTGAGATAGGAGAGATAGGAGAGCACGCACAATTACAAGAGAGCGAAGAACAAGAAGTTAAGTCCAAAAGACAACTGCACGAGATAGAGAGGTATATAAAAGACGCACAAGTTGAAGTAACTGGAAGTGGATTTGATGAAGGAAGAGGGGGAAGATTTGTTCCTGAAACCGAAAAAGACCCAAATGAGAATTTTGAAAGGGAAACGACAGAGATACCAGGTAAGAGGATATTATTGAGGAACAAATTAATTAATAAAAAAAGTTGTAGGGAAGACTTGCGAATTCCGTTATGAGCTTTAAGGTAACAATATTAGGTAACAGAGAAGAACTGAATATATTACATATATATTTCACACGGGTAGCAGGCTAGGTGCCAAGTAATCGAAAATAGAGTCTAAAATGATTCAGTTCCTAAGTTTAAACGTTTTTTGATATAAAACTGATTCAGAGAGAGAGAGAGAGAGAGAGAGAGAGA